TCGAGCCCCACGTTGGGCATGGAGCCTACTTAAAATAAAAATTAAAAAATGGGGGGCGCCTGGGTGGCTCAGTCGGTTACGCATCTGCCTTCGGCTCAGGTCATGATCTCAGGGTCCTGGGATCGAGTCCTGCAATCGGGCTCCCTGCTCTGCAGGGAAGCCTGCTTCTCCCTCTGCCTGCTGCTCCCCCTGCTTCTGCACTCTCTCTCTCTCTGTCAAATAAATAAAGACAATCTTTAAAAATAAATAAATAAAAAGTAAAAACTCGTCATGCTTAAAAAAAGAACAACTACTATGGGGTATCTACTAGGTGCCAAGCACTGTTCTAAGTGCTTAACGTCTGAGAACTCATTTGATATTTATAACATTTTCAGGAAGTATTTATTAGCACCCATTTTATAACAGAAAACTGAGGCTCAAACAGAAATTAAAGGTCTAAGGTGATATTGCTAGGAAGTGGCAGAGCTAGGATTCAAACCATGTCTGTCTAACTTCAGAGACTGTGTGTAGGTACTAAATGGGAAGAGAAAGACTAAAGGAGGCTAAAACTTAAAACTGAGTCTTCAACGGGCAAGAAGGGAAGCCAGGTCTGGGCCTCAGTTTCCCCACTACGAAATAAAGGATTAGATTAGATCATCCATTCGGGGCGCCTGGGTGGCTCAGTTGGTTAAGCGACTGCCTTCAGCTCAGGTCATGATTCTGGAGTCCCGGGATCGAGTCCCACATCGGGCTCCCTGCTCAGCGGGGGGTCTGCTTCTCCCTCTGACCCTTCCCCTCTCGTGCTCTCTGTCTCCCATTCTCTCTCTCAGATAAATAAATGGAATCTTTAAAAAAAAAAAGAGTATTAAAAAAAAGATTAGATCATCCATTCATTCATTCACTTAACAAATACTTGTAAGAAGGCCTACTCCATGCCATCGTAGGGGATGTTGGGGGGAGAGAAAGCAGGCTGTGATACACAATTGAGAAATACTGGGTCCCTTCATCCAAGGAAGTGGAAATCTAGTTGGAGAGACAGATAGGCAGAGTGTAGAAGTGCTTAATAGAGGGCCAAGCTCCGTATGGTGGGGGAAACCCCGAGGAGAAGTTAACTTCCATGGGGAGGGAGTGGGGGTCAGGGAAAGTGGCATGAAAGAACCAGCTTGAGTAATGGTTGAGTGGGATTTCAACAAGCCCAGAAGGGCATAGAAAATGCTGAAGGAGCAGTCCAGAAAGCGCTTGTCTTGTCCAAGGAATGGTGAGAGGGCTGGTTTGGTGAGAACAGAGGCTTTGTGAGGGACATGGATGGGAAGGAGGCTGGAGCAAGATCAGGGAGGGCCGTGGAAGCTAGGTGAAGGCTTATGGAGTTGATTTTGTTGCCAATGGGCAGCCAATGCCAGTTTTTGGGAGGGCAGATGATTTCTTAGTTTCTTCCATCTCTAACACTGTCTGTTTGATTAAAAACCTTATTAAGAGTCTTAGAGAGAAAAAAAAAAAAGAGTCTTAGGGAGGCAGGGAGGCTTGACCTTGAGAAGCCTCTGGGGTGATTTTAGCCCCCTTCCTCATTTTCCCCCCTTTGGCTATAAAATCCAGAAAGGCTGTTAGTTGTTTACAGAGTTTAGTTTAACCAGACATGCTGTCTCCCCATCTAGACCCAGGGCTCTTAGAGGGCAGAGAACAGGCCTTCCTCAGCATGCAGTGGGCTGTTGGAATGCGTCTCCAGCAGCAACCTGCTGCAGTAGGGTTCATGCATTTGAGATATATGAAGAGCCAACAGGGGCGATGAATTCTCCCCCACGGCCCCTCCCAGGGCACAAAGGGAAACACTATAGAGCACATAGTGTATGTAACTCATGGTCAGCCCTGCTTCACTCTTTCTTTCCTGAATTTGCAGGGTGCTTTCTGTACCCTTCACTCCCCTAGTCTGCTTTCAACTGCAGTGGCTTAAAATGAGCCCTTTGACAGTCCTAAGACTCTGAGTTCGAGCTCTGACTTCACCTTCAATTGACCGGGGGGTGGGGGGTGGGGGGTGGGGTGTTGGGGGGGGTGGGCAGGGGGTGAAGGGATGACCAGAAGCTTCAAATTCACTTCCTTCTGACACTCCAGCGATCTAAGCCACTGAAATTGTTGTCATTGTTGTTGTTGTTGCTGTCACAGGACTGGACTGTTTTACCAGAGACACAAGGAAGGCCTCTGATTTCAGAACAAAGCAGAGAATTGGAGCAATTATCCTATGAATTAAGTCAGAGGTTGGTGTGAGGCCTAAATTACCCCCATGAACCCCAAATGCCCTATTTTGTCTGGTTGGCTCCAGGAGGGCAGAGCCCAGGCCCATGTCACCCCTAGGTCTCTGTGCAAAGGAGGCTGGTGATGCTGAGGCTGATAATAGTAAAAACTTGCATGAGTCCAGTAGTTTACGGTGCACAAAATTCTTTCCCATCCACTATCTCATTTGATGCTCAGGGGTGTGCTTGTGAGAGAGGGAGGACAGGTGCATTGATTCCCATATTTTGGAGTTGGGAGGAAGACCCAAAACACAGTCCCTGGCATTGGGCAGGCCCTACTCAAATGTTAGGGCTTGCTTGAGGTCTCACTGCTAGCCATCGACAGGACAGAACTAGGATCTGGTTCTTAAAACTCTCCAAACAATCCTCTTTCCATCACACCAAGCTGACTCTCTGAGAGTCCAGGCCCAGGCCAGTAGCTGTTATTGATGGAAGAAACAATCATTTAAAAATCTGCATGAAAAGGAACATTTTGGCATTAAATGGAGGTGCTATACCATGTTGAAAAGAACTCTGGATGTGGGGTCAGGATTACTGGGGTTGAGTCCTGGTTCAGGAACTCACTAGCCATGTGACCTTGAGCAAGCCACTCATAGATGCTCATAGACTCAGTTTCCTCAATTACAAAATCGAGGGTTGGAGTGAGAAAACAAATGGAAGAACACAAGTGAAAGGGCTTCGTAGACATCCTGAGATTGTACAAAGGTATTATTACTATTATTATTATGTTGTGGTTCTAGCCTCAAATAAAATAATCATTAATCTTTACTCTTTTCAAGGTTTCCCACAGCTCTCCCCACCCTGCTCCTTGATTTCCCATCACCTCCTGTAGGGCAGGAAGCATGGCCCCCAACAGGAAGGGCTCAGAGAAGCTAGAGCTTCAGCCAGGAAATAACCATCTTGCCCCAATCTTCATTTCGCCAGATAAATGATGCAGCCAAATGGTGAGATAGAGATGAGTGGGGAACAGAGGTGTCCAGAATCCATTTCAGCCTCAAACCAAAGAGCAAAGTAGCCCCAAGGCCTAAGGCCCTTAAGAGAAGTGGAAATTTAGCAATTACCAGATGAATTAAAATCAGTGAAGACAGCCAATTTAAATCAAAGCAGAATTGCTGGGGCCTGCATTATCAGGCCCAATGGAGGTGATCCCTCACACCTTAATAATGCCTGTAGAACTCGTATGTTGATTAGTCTAAAGGAATCATTTCAAATTTTCACTTTCCCTTTGTGCAACTTAGGCCAAACATTTTTTAAAGTGTGTGTGTGTGGGGGGGATGCACAGGAGGGTGGGAATGGCCAAGTAAGACAGCTAGTGAATAAGTTTCCAAAGCAAAGTGGCAAGTGTTTGGTCCCCATTGCTGGCGGTAGATTTTGAGGCTGGTGAGGACAAGCCAGAGGGGTCATAGAACAGCAGGCCTTAAACAACAGCAAAGCCCCTGCTACCTCAGTGGCTTACCCTCCTCTGCAATACTCCTCCTTTAAACCAGGTGAGGGAGACATACCAGGCAAGTCTCACCTGCCATCTCTAAAGTCCTTCCAACTGAGAGAAGACACCCCATAGCTTAGAGATGGAAACTCTCTGGGCCTGGGACAAAGGAAAGGGGCAGGGAGGAGGAGGAGGAGGAAGACATTAATCCGTCAGGGCTTCCTTCTAGTCCAAATGACCCTCTGGCTTCCTTAGTATAGATAAATATATAATAAATAATATCAATATATCTGCACATAAAGATTTTTTTTGCAAATTCCTGCTATTCATTTCACATTCCGTGTTTACAAAGCCCTGAACCCTCCAGGAACTGCCGGGCACCTCCCCTAATACCCTTTAGGCTGAGGCGATGCCTTTGAAGTCCCAACCGCGGTCTCAGGGTTGGAGCTGCTAAGAAACACCCTAAGACTGAAAGCAAGTCTGCCGGCAGCTTCAGCTCCTTCGCAAGCTGCTCTCCTCCTCGGAGTTAATGTAAAGTCATCAGAGTTCCAATGTGGTCCGCAGGCTTCTCAGCCCTTCAGTCTTGGGGATGGCGGGATGGCCTGGGATGTAAACACATATGAGGATTTATTCCTTTGGCCAGGCGGGGAGTCGTTAGGGTAAAGGGTAAGGGTCAAGGGGGCTCGGTTTGGTGACTGAGGAGCCTGGGGGGGGGGGTTGGTAGGGGGGGCTGGGCAGAAGTCGAGTTTTCCTCGAGCCAGGTTTTCGGCCCCAAAATCGTGCAGGCTTTCCCCCTTTACAGACCTTTCGTTTCCCTCCTCCTCCCTCAGGCCTCTAGCTCCAGGCACCCCCCCCCCAAAAAAAGGTGCCTCCACGCCCAGGCCAGGGGCTGTCCTTTGAAGTCGGCCCAGCGGGTTTGCAGCACGCAAGGTTGCCACGAAGGGTGGGCCGCCCTGGAGACGCAAGGCGAGGCAGCGAGCCCCGGCATTTTCCCTTCCCCAGCACCTGTCCCACTTCGGCGCCGGGGCTGGGGCTGCGCCCGCGGGCGGCCTCGGTGCCCGAGCGCCAGAGCCTTGCACCGAGGTCGCCCGGGTTAGGGAAGTGGGGGGCCAGGGAAGGGGCGGGGCGTCCGGCGGGGGCGCCCCCCCCGCATGCAAGACCCCACGCACCCCCCCATACACGGAGGCTAAACGGAGATAGAGAGTCACACATAAAGCACGAGCGAAAACGCTCGCTCTCCGACCCCGAGCGGCGTTACTCGCCCCCCCCCTTCCTGGAGCCGGGGGCTGGCGGGGGAAGGTGGCTCCGTTCTTCCCCCGTGGCCAGTGCGGGGTCTGCGGCTGCCCGGAGAGGTTCCGGCTTCCCCGGTGCTGGCAGGGGGAGCCCCGAGAACTGCAGGCCCGCCCCCCCTTCCTCCTCCTCCTTCTCCTCCTCCCCCACGTGTCCTCCCGGAGCCCAGCGGCCTGATCCCAGCACCCCCCGCCACCTCCCTCCTCCTCTCGCTTCGCCCGCTTCCCCGGCGGCGTGGAGAAGAGCAAAGTTGCGACAGCGGCCGGGGGGCTCTGCCCAGGTGAAGGGGGCGCCGTGGGGGGTGGGGGATGGCGCGGCCCTGCGGCGGGGGCGGAGGGAAGATAAAGAAACTTGCTTTCCGCGGCCCCCACCCCTCGCGGGTTCGGATCTTGCGTGGACCGAGCCCTCGTGGCGAGACGCGGCAACGCCGCTGGGACCGAGGCCGGCACCGGGACCCAGACCCGGACCGCGCGCCTGGGCCGGCTCGGCGGGCGCAGGCAGCGGGCCAGGCCGGCACCCAGGCAAGGGCGGGGTGGGTGGCCATACACCGGACCGAACCGGAGACTCCGGTGGCCTGGGCGCGGGCCGAACCCGGACCGGGCCGAGTTGGGCGGCGAAGTAGGACGTGGATTCGGGGGCGGGGCGCGGCGGGAGGGGGAAACCAGGCCCCGCCGGACTGGCCTGGGCGTGGGGGCGGGGGGCGAGTTCGGGGCACTTGCTGGGCTCGGGACCGAGCGGTAGGGCGGGGCGGCGCTAGGGGCTGGGCCGGACCCGCGGGGAGAGGGTGAAGGGGGGAGCCGGGGGTGGAGTAGGGGCGTGGAGTTGCGAGCGGGGTCTGGCCTCGGCCGGGGGCGAAGGTAGATCGGCGGGGCCGCCAGCGGAGGGAGGGAGGCCCGCGGCAGCGCGGCGGCAGCGAAGGCCAGCTTCCGCGGAGTTTGTGCCCGGGCTTCCCGGGCTCGGGCCGCCTCACGCGCACAAATGGGGCTAGGGGACTGACTGGTAAGCAACTGCGAGTGTTAGACGGTGTTCGGCGGCGATTCCGGGAAAAGCAAGGAAAGACACCGTCTGCAATTATGCCGCACCCCCCACCCACCTCTTAGCATCTGGATTTTGCTCTCAGGGGGCCGCGGACCCTCCCCGCCACAACCCTTTCACTCTCCTGCGCTCGCACCGCCTCCCCCCTTCCTAGGCCATCTGACTCTCCTAGGGGTATGTGTTTGGGGGTGGACGACGGCGTGGGGTGGGGGGGGCGGCGGTATACTCTCCCTCCCGCGGCAGCAGCCTAGTTCGTATCTTATTCCTACATGTAGCGTCGCTTCGAGTCTTGTGGACATTGGGGTTTAGATAACCTACCCCCACCCCACCCCCTCAAGCGATTTGATGGCTTTTAAGGAAAGGGAGGAATCCCTGGATTTCCACGCCTAGAACGAGGTTTAAGGATTGAGATTCACCCCCAGCTCACTTCCACTACCAACCCCTTTCCTTGTAAGCCATTTCCACGGGGATCCGAACTTTGGGGGGCGGTATTAATGTGCTTCTCTATCTCTACACAGGGTCGGCGTGGCCAAGGACGGCTAGTCTCTGAGGGAAAGTAGCCACCAGTCCAACTCGGGTCGCTCCCACTATTACTTCGGTGAGGGGGGCAACGCTAAGGAGATAATGGTGGGTAGGGACCCGGTATAAAGGAGGGGGCTGGGTAGTCGCCCCTGGAGGGACTCCGTTTCTTGTAAGGTAGGGAGAAGCGAGCCCAGGCTTCAGGGGAGGAGTTCTGGGAGGGACATGGGGGGTGGCGATGACGGGGGGAGGGAGGAAGGGGGGAGTCACACCCTGCCAGCAAGGGGAGCTTCCCTCAGGCCCCTGGGAGAAGGGGACTGAATGTGTCTGTTCTGTGCTGCCCGGCAGGGGAGATCTGGGGTCTCTGGATTTGCACACTGGATCGGGCACCAGTGGCCTGAGAAAGTCAGGTCGGGGCATATGGTGGAGAGCCTTGGAGGAGAGAGACAGAAACCCCTGGCCTTGGCGCCCTGATCTTTTCCCTTCCTCAGTCTTCCCGTTCGAGGGGCATTGAGGGCTGGGGGCGTGGGGCTCTTGCAGCCCCTAGGATTGAGCGCCTCCGCCTCTCCTGGGAGTCTAGCTTTTTGCCCGGCTTGCTGCAGCCACTGCTGCTGCCTCCCTCTCCGGAATCCGCTTGGTCCTCGCAGCGATCCCCTCCTCCTCCCCTCCCCTCCCAGTGTCACCGGGGCTGCTTGGCTCTGCCCCCTTCGCCGCCGCTTGCTCCCTGCTTTCGTCCCTCCCTCTCTTGCTCGCTCCCTCCCTTCGCCTCCACCTCCCCATTCCTCCCCCCTCGGCAGGTGGCACTCTGGGAGTTGTAGTCCCGTGGAGCGACGGCTAGCGCCGCCCGCGAACCCCGCCGGACTCCACTTCCCGTCGAGCCCTGCGACCGGCACCCACTCCGCCAGGCTTCGCTCGCACACACAGACACACACACACACCGCTCTCCCCCTCACTCTTTCGCTTGCCGCGGCTGCTGCCAGTGTGTGGCTCTGTCTCTCCTCCGCTTTGCCGAGCCCTCCCTTCTTCCTCTCAGTTCCTAGAGTCCGACCGCCGCCGCCGCCGAGAGAGAGGAGAAGGAGGTCGGTGGCGATAAGGGGCGGAGGGGGGGCATCAGATCGGGGCAGTATTAGGCGGGTGGCGGCTCAGAGTGGGTAAGAGGGAGCCCGGGTGGCGGCCTGAGCCTCCCCGCGGAGCCGACCCGGGAACAGGTGCGTCTTTTTTTTCTCTCCCCCAACCCCTCCACCCCTTTTGACTCCCCGGCTTTCTCGTATCCCCCCACCCGCTTCTTTCTATCTTAAGCCTTTTCCCAACCCTGTCCCTTCGCCCGGCGGCCGCTCTGCTTGCCCCCCGGGGGCGCCGTCCTCTTCGTGTCCCCGGACGTAGCGCTCCCTGGAGCTCGCTCTGTCCTCGCCCCTCCCTTCGGGACAGCTCCCCTCCACTTCCCACCTTCGTACCCCATCCCTGCCCTACCCTACCCCCTCCTCACCCCCTTCTCCCTTAGCCAGGTGAGACTTGTTCGCCACGATCTGAGAGTCTTCTTCCTGGCTGGGCGGGGGTCTCCATGGAAACGGGGGTCGGGTTGATCCTGGGGGGGAACCATTGGAATTACCCCACTCCTCAGAAAGGGAGGTGGAGACTATGGTCTTGTTAACTACCTGGCCCTAACACCCCCCACCCCCCATCCAAGGATCCAGTGATCCGAAGGGAGGCTGGCCAGGAGGGCAGGGCGAGAAAGGGCTTGTTTTTTGGGGGGGGGGTGGCTGTCCGTGATGAAGTCTTGAAGAGACCTGGAGAAAATACCCTCCAACCTCAGAGGGGAGGTGCGACGGTTGCTCTTCAGGGCTGCTTTCTCCCCGGTGTTGGGGTGCGGGAACCGTAGGGTAAGGGGTACCCCTAGGTGGCGGCGGGGCCTGGGTTCGGGAGTGGGAGTGCTGTGATGGGGGCAGGGGCAATTATCCGAGTCCCTGGAAAAAAGGCGGGGGATGACTTCGGAGCGCCCTGGCTCCGCTGCCCTCGCTCTAGGGGCGGGGGCTGCCGGGCCGGGCGCGGCGGGGAGGGGGCTTAAATTGAAGGAGGATGAGATGGGGGCAATTCATACTAGCCCCGGCAAGCCAGGGGGAGATCCGGCGTGCAAGCTCTCCACCCGCTCCGCGCCAGGCCTGGAAGCAAGGGGTCTGAGAGCGAAGCCGAGGGGTGGAAGGAGGGAGGCTCCGGTTACGGGGCCGGGTTTCGGCATCAGGGGCAATCCCCCAGCCCTTGAAGGAGGGAGAGGGATGGCCGCGAACCCCAGGGCTCCCCCACCCCGGGTCCTAAGGGGCGTGAGGAACAGACAGCAGGCCCAGCGGAGCTGGATTCGAGCGGATCGCGGCTGGGGAGTGGGGGGGCTTAGTGGTGGGCTTCGGGGGGAGCAGTCCGGCGGCGGGGCGGGCGGGCGGGGCGTGGGGCTCCGGCGGGCGGCGGGGCGGGGCCGGGGCGGCGCTGCTGCCGCCGCCGCCGCTGCCGCCGCCGCTGCTGCTCCTGCTGGGGCCGCTGCAGCCGTTGCTGCCGCCGCCGCCGCCGCTTCTGGGCGGGGAACGGAGGCCAAAGGGAGTCCCGTGCCGGGGCAGAGGGCGCAGGCGGTGCGTGGTGGGGAGGGGGCCGTCCTGGGGGCGGGGGCAGGCGGGGGGTGGAGCCCCCGACGGGGGGCGGTACGAGCCCGGACGACGACGACGAAGAGCCCCGGGGGCCGGGTGCATGGAGGACGAGGTGCTGGGAGAAGGAAGGGGGGGTGGGTCCCGCGACGGGCCTCGTGGGCTTGGCTCCTCGAGGTTCTGCTTTGGGACAGAGCCCTGCAGGGGCGCCCAGAGGCCCGGGAAGGGACAGGGAGGTGAATTGGACGGTGAAGGGGGCCCTCCTCTCCGGGGTCCCGCCGAGGGGAAGGCTGGGCCGGAGGGACGTCCGGGGTAGGGTTGGGAGGAGCCGACCGCACCTCGGCTGGGGATTTCGTGTTATGGAGGGGCGGGAGAATGTTGTAGGGAAAGATGTGGTCGAGGGGAAAGGCGAGAGGGAAACACACTGCAAGCCCGGGAGGCCAACAGCCCAGGCCAGTGGAGGTGCCCTTCTGTTCCGCCCGCACCTTCCCCCTCTCCCAGTGCAAGCACTATGTTTCTGTTTTATTGTTTTGAAATTTTCAGTGTTGACTGTAGGAAGCTGTCGATGTGGTGATACTTACTCATTCTTGGTGTCTCCTAGAGTAGACAGTAAGGACAGGCGTCGCTTGGCGAGGATGCGTCTAGCCCAGGGTTTAGGGGCTCTTTACGCGAGAGTGGGAAGGGGGCCTGCTAACTTCGTGCGACAGCTAAATACTCAAGGCAGTTTGGAGGTCGTCCCCGGGCACAGAGGTGGAGTACAATTGCAAAAATCTTTGGTGAGACTTCTGGGGGTGCAGTTGTAGGTTAGTGTTACTCTGGTTGGCCTGGCTCTTTCAACTTAGAAGGCTATTTCTCAAAGTCACGCTGCTGAGACGCTGGGGAAATGAACAGGGGGAAGCGTTTGGTGTTGGAAGCAGATTAGGTTTATAATAAAATCCCAAGGTTGGAAGGGATTTTAAAGGTCATCTCGTTCTCTGTTTACCTGACCTGTCCTTGAATGTTGGGATAGAGGGAGCTTTATTTTGGGGGAGATGGAGCAGGGTTTAGGGGTACTCAAATTGGATGGCGATGTCACCATGTGGTACTGAAGAGGACAGTATGTAGGAAAGAAATTTGGAGGATTCCACTGGGGATTAAATGGGATAACCCAATCCCAAGAATCGAAGCAAAAGTTTGGGGGAGGAACCTGTAAAATTTTGATGGAGAGGCAAAGTTAGTAAGAAGGACTGGGGGAGCTAGGAGGAGCAGGGGACTTGGTGACTCAAGAGAATCTGAAGGTTGATAGAGTTTAGGAGGGACATAGTCGTTTTGAGTAAGCCATGTGGCTATTGTTAGGCAGACTCATCTTTTGATAAGGCAACTGGGGCCGCTGCCTTTGGGATAGATGGTGAGGACAAGAGGCACCGGCCATCAGGCACAGAGCCTTACTCAACTTGACTTTCAGCGGGCTGACCCTGTTACCAGCTATGCAGCAAGGGTAGGGTTCTTTCTGTCCTGGCTCTGAGAGTCATTGATGGAGGAAGGGGTTAAGGAGGACTGTTTCTTTAGAATAAGCCATAAGGAAAAGACAGCAAATTGTTGGGATAGGGCAGAGGAAAGCTAAGTCCCTGGCACGTTCTTTTGTTGGAGTCTGGATTGGGCAGAGTGGAGGGGAGTTCCAGAGGAAATGGTGGCAGCACCAAGGGAACTCAGAGATCTGGCTGTTTTGATTGCCCAGAGCTGGTAGGGCATAGACTCCCAGTGGCCTAGACTTTGGGGAAGCAAAAGGGTTTCCTCCAGGGTTCTGTTTGCTTTATTCATGCTGTAGTTCACTCCATAGGAGAAAAATGTTTAGTACAGGTGGCAGAAAATCTCACATGATGAGTCTGGATTACAGGTTTCAGAGAGGGGCTTCTTTTAGGAGAACAGAATTATGGGAGAAAAAGACTTGAATACTAGAAAGAAGGAAGGCAAAAAGAAAAGTCAGGAAGAGGACTGATTAGGCAGTGAAGGGGGAAGAAAAGTGATCATCCCTGGTTTCACATCAGGGCCAACTAAAGAAAAAGTGGAACCCTGAAATTTCCAGGCTAGGTTTTCCAAAGTAAAATTTGAAGAACCTTGAAGGCTCTTTACACTTTCATGCTAGAATCACTATGGTTGGTGCGTGAGAGAGGACGATCTTGGGTAAAAATAGGGTTGGAGAGAAACTGGCATGTAGGAAGGAATATACATATATTTACCCATAGGGATGTAGAGAATATAGAGATAGTATATAAGCTAAAAAATGCAGAATATGACAGAGGGCGGAATAAGGAGCCAAAGGAAGATGTTTACTCACATGTTCAGGGAAGGTAAAAAGTTGCCTTTGATAGCTGTTGTCCTGGGAGGGCCCAGGCAGCAGAGGTTAGCTGAGATCCAGGGCTTATAAGTCTAAGCATTAGTTAGAAAATTCAGGCTAAAATAAGCGTCC